TTTTGCAGTGTTAAGGATCGGATATAGAGAAATCTACCATTGTTCGTTGAATAAAATATTTGTTTTGAGATTCCAAGATGCTTAAAATGTACGAAGGCAGACACCAGGCGAAGACCTGGAGATAGAATGGTCAAAGTGTTTTGAGTATAAGAATCAAAATCAGCATTATGGCCAGAATAGCAAAGCATTTTATTTCGAAATATCATAAAGCTTCTTTTTGTTAACGGTTTCTGGGTGACACCAACAATGATAAGTTGACACCCGTCAGTCCATTTATTTTATCTTATTTTTAATAAATTGGAACTAAATTTTTTAAAATATAAGAACCAAGATACAAAAAAAAACAAATTAACAGATTAACAGCAAAATTAATTCCAATATTGCTTATTAATGACATCAACAACAAAAAAAGAAAAAAAACGAAAAAGGAAAGTGTTGTCTAAACATGTTCATTGACACAAAGTGAAAAAGCCACTTGGATCATTTATAATTTAAATCTTTATAGTTTATAAATGAGATTTAAATGCGTCAATGTATTTTCACAGTGTGTGCGAACAAGACCGCACTGGCACAGATCTTTGAATGCGTGTGAATGTTTTAATAAATATTTATTAATCTTGGCATATGATAATGATTTGAGCATTCGTTTTGAAGCAAACTTATTATTCAAGCGAATAGGCTCTATAACGTACGCACTACTTTCATTGTCCGATATGAATATTTATACAGCTTTGTTTAGTTTGATGGTACAAATTCAAAATAGACATTAGAAAGATTGTAGTGCACCAAATTTCTATATGAGAAAGTCGTGCTTACCATAGAAATCAGCATTTGAAAATTCATTTTTTCTGGGTTCGAACATTACTGACGGAACTACAACTCCTTCAACCAAGAAGCATGGTAAATTAATATTTATACTCAATTCTAATTGAACTCGTTACGAGATTAAATTTTCTATGTATCGAACTTCACTCTGTAATAAACGTCTTATTCTCTCAAGTATAAGAACATGTGCATGGAGAGAACAAATGCATGAAAGAACGGCTTTTGGGTGGTACATTGTGAAAAAAAATCAAAGCTTCTTTTCTTATTCCCATTTGAAGAAAGCGATATTTTGCTCAATTTATTGAATCACAGACAAAAAACGACACTTCTAGTGTTATCAACGAAATATTTGCTCAAATAAGTGCCAGATCCAAATATAAACTGAAGAATCTACAGCATAAAAATCTCACAAACGCAGGGACCTCAAAATTTTTTTTTCTTTTTGGCAACCTTTGTGCGACTGTCTGTGTAAGAAGGAGTATCCATTTTTTAACATAGTATTGAGCTTCAGTAAGTATAAATTCAGCACTTGCTCGTGTTAAATAACAATAAAAGGTAATGACATTCTTGAAAATATATATAGAACTAAAGAAAAATAAATTTTTAAAGAAAAATAAAAATTAGTGATTAAATTTTCCAATTTGTACTCATTAGATTGATCGTCAAATAACTTTTACTAACGATCAATGATGGTAACTTAAAAAAGTATTTCAATATGAGTGAATTAAAAATAGCCACGTCAAATCTTTTCAATTTTAATAAAACGTAGAAATCAGCATTGACTAAAATATTAAAAGATTAAAATGTTTTCGAAAATTCTAATTTAAGATCTATCATTATTCCACACACTTTTCTGACTCTTATTTCTATTTCCGTGTTTTTAATCTGAAAGTTAAGGGTGATTTTTCAATCTTCTACGGGTCTGTGTAGTTGACTAAGCTGAGTTTAGTTTAGCACAAGGCTTCAACAATGGTGTACCCAACAAAGATAGGACTCACTAGTAAATGGTGAACCCGTGACAAACTTTCCTCAAGTATATGTTGCATTTTTAAATGTCATTTAATAGTTCTTTCTCTTCTCAAAATGAAAGCTAATATAAAACAGAATCACAGCACTGTGTTAAGATTTCGTGTCAGTAATATTAAGGAGGGAACAGACAAGAAGGGCGCTGTTTATTCTTATAAAGTAATCGATCTTTTCTATGACCAATATTTAAAGAGGTGTTAATGAGTTGATAATATTGTAACCGACATTTTCCAAATAACCTTGTAATGATATGAAATGCGTTAACTGTTCTAGTTAAGTCTTACCTCCACGAGATCGCTAAAAAAAGAGTATATCATGATGAAAAAGACGCCAAACTTGACGAAAACAAAATTTTATCGTCTAAATGTTTGTTATTATTAAGAGGAAAGATCAAAGTATTTTGGGGGTATTTTTTTCCATTTTTTAATCGTTCCTAGCACGTTAAAAATCTAGTTTTTTTCTGAGTCAGCAAAATTGAAACATTTTTTTCCATTTAAAAAAAAAACTGGAAATCTCACTTTGAAATTCTTTTAAATATCAATTATCATTTTTTCAAAACTTATTTTAAGAAAATCAGAAATTATAATGTTTATTTAAAATATTTTGAACCAAACTTAACTTAGCTTTTGTGCCAAAGAGATGTAATTTGAAAATAAAACAAAGCAGGTCATAAACTTTCGCGTCTCTTGACAGGTGATGAATGACATATTTACGAATTCCATGATTAGTTCTACGGAAGGAGAAAAGTGAAATAATTTACATTTAAGTGAACAAATTATTTACCTCGTTATTTTTAACGAAAACTTTCAGCGGTCTAATTTTTTTTTTTTTTTTTTGTACTTAGCTTTCTCCTTTACGTTTATGATGCTTTATGGAAAATATATTATAAAGAAATTAAAATAAGACTGTTAAGAGTGACATTAAATTTCATATTTCCTAAGAAATGTATCTAATTAATTTATAGGTACCTTTCTTATGAAATTTTATCAGAACTGTACATAAAATACTATAATTTTATATACATTTATTACATTTTACTGTTATTTGTATTTGCATTCATTTTATTATTAATTTTGATATTTCATTGATGGAAAAATGTCATAACTGAGATTAATATAAAAATAAGATCATATAAATTTCATAAGATGATACTGATACTTCTCAGTTGAAATTGAAAAATCAAATTAACTTCTCCACACGTGTTTCGCAAAAGTAAAGGCCTTAACAGCGGAGAACAATGCTTAACTCAAATAACGCAACTTAATTATATTCTGGTTGGTCTTCCGTACTTTATAATTACAGCCCGGTTATAAGCACAAAATTACATTTCTTAATTACTGTGGATCTATCTCATAAGGACACTTAGGAAAGCCGATGCTGCTTTTAACTAATTTTATATTTTAACAACTTAAATGTAAAATCTATTATAATTAAAGAAATAACAAATAATTGTATTAAAAATTCATTTTTCATCGAAAATTTTTTTTTGCTTTCAGAAAATATTGTCCATATTCATAAAAACAACTAAAAGCAAATAAAAGAATTTGAAATAATATATTTGTTTTATTGAGTTTTGTATGTTACAATTCAGAGCTGATTTTCAGGTACGTTGGCTCCAATTAAAACCCAAAAAAAAAACATGATTTGCATTCCTCAAAGACCTGTGCTTTTAATTATTGTAATCACTAAAACCGATGCGATCGAATTTCTAGCGTTTTCATAAAATTAGTTATGGGGAGGGGGGAAATATTTCTACCATGACTTTAATAAAAAAAAAACATATTTGTAATAATTTCGATCATCTGTGAATAGTTCCTGAAAGTTTCATTCACAACCGACAATTATTTCTATTTTTGCACGATTTTTTCAAATTAATGTGTGTCATACCAAAAAACGTGCTAAAATTGTCTATGTTATTTACTAGTTCGCTGAGACAAATAGAAACAAGGTTTTTTAATCAAAATTTAGAATGTTCTAAAAGAAGGAAAAATTTTTAAAATAATTAAAAAAAACTTTGGTCTTTCCTCTTAATAATAACATAAGCATTTAGACAATAAAATTTTGTTTTCGGCAAGGTTGGCGTCTTTTTTATCAAGCTATGCTCTTTTTTTAGCGATTTCGTGGAGGTACCTAAGTTAAGAAGACTAAAATGAAAATTAAAAATAAATTATTTCTCAAGACCACCATATGCAACATACACATGACGAAGGCTTCAAAATATATCACCTTAGAAAGTCTATTAAAAGCAATAATGATGACGAAAATCACCCGAAAAAAATAACAAATAATGAATGTACTTCATTTCAGAAATGAAGACAATGCAGAAAGACCGAAAAACGTCAATTGAAAATTTGTGTTCAAAATAACAATGACATGGAATAAAATATTAAAAGTTTTTACACGCAGGTTTTCCTTGAATTTTTTCTCTATTTCAAGTAGATTGGTCGGTGGACTCAGCTTTTTTCTATGAATAACATTTAGTTATTTTAGAATACTGACCCAGCATTTGCAATAATCTATTATTAGACAGATTTAAGAAAAGTTCTCTTTATTTCAGTTCAAAACATTATATTGTTTTCAAATTTATTAGGAAAAACGGCCACATGAAATAAATAAATAAATAAATAAAAATCTGTTTCTTTTTAAGACTTTATGATTGTTCACCATCAGTGTTTTATCACATTTTTTCAATTCTGAAATATGATTGAATCCCTATAAAGGGACATTTGAAATCAGCTCTCTGGAGTTTTTTTATAGTTTTTGATAGTTTATATTTGCACTTTACTGATAAGTTTTCTATCAATTAATTTCGCCCGGCCAACCTTCGATCATTCTGAAGGTTCTGGGCCCGACACAACCGGTTCTCTGGAAAGCATTTCCCAAAGTACTTGTTTGCTGTTTAAACGTTCAGCTTTAACTCTTTCTAATAACGGTTTTGGTGACTTGACGACATTGATTTGCACTTAAAAGTAGATGATTTTCTTCCAGAATGCAACAAAGAAAAAGATCATATGTCTCTTTCACATAGTCATTTAAGCCACTATATATATATATATATATATATATATATATATATATATATATATATATATATATATATATATATATATATATATATATAATATTCCCTTCGTTCTCTCTTTTTTCAGGTGAGCGTTTCATGACAATTCAACGGCTTCTTTGTGCGCCTCAATCAACTTGGCTTGATGGAGAATCACAATGGTGTGTTGTATCTATCAAAAGAGGACTTCCATCCTCAGTGGAGTCTGTATCCATTCGTGAAATCTTATTGCAGATGATGTCACTGTTCGTGTCTCCATTTCCGGTTGCATTACTTTTCTTCCGGTCTACATTGTTCCGTGAAGAACAGGTTCTTAAGCATCGGCACTTTTCCCCAGGCTCATTGTTACCTTCTTTCTTGTACTTGACCCGACGGTTCTGGAACCAGATTTTCACCTGCTTCTCAGACAAATTCAGGTAAGTGGCAATCTCAATACGACGCAGACGAGACAGATACATGTTGGAAGCAAACTCTCTCTCAAGTTCCAATAACTGAGTGCTTGTAAATGCTGTGCGAATTCTTTTGCTGCTCTGAAGATCATCGGCCTCCACTGATTTTCTCCCTGAAAATAATTTAAAATTATTATTATTATTATTATTTTTATCGCTTTATTTTTTAGAATTTGGTTAATATATTTGTGCTATAAATCATTCACACCCATTCTCATTCACACATGGGCACATAATCTAACAATGTTCATTTAGGAAAAACTTATCTATTTTCTTTTGATTTTTAATCCTATATCCTCCAATAAAGTCTTGCTTCCAGATTTTAAAGCACAAATGTTATCTTTTTATTTTGAATAAAACCAAGAATTTAGTCAACACATTTGTCACCTGAAGCCATAAGCCTGAAATCATAACTTCTGGTGTATAATACGCACACTGATTTTAAGAAGAATATTTGGGTACAAGCGTATTGTATGTAGAGAAATAGGTTTATTCGTAAAAGTTCCCAGTATCTCAACTCGATGCACTCAACGATTTGTTCGGAATATTGTCATCAACTTCAGTTGCAATGTATTATCTTGACACCCCGTCATTTTTACTGATATTTTTGAAAGTTTTCCACAGAAAATATTAATCTGAATATTCTTGAAATAAATAATGAATTCTATTTTTGGAATTAATTCAGCTTTGTGCGGCGTAAAGCCAAGACTGCTTACTGTTTTTTTTTAAATAATTATACAAGAGATTTCTGTACATTATCATTATTATTGATTTGTTTATTTTGCTATTTTTGCTATTTTTGCTATCACGTCGGTTAGAAAGCTACACAATCTTAAATCTAGAAGCTTTTCCTAAAGAAGTTAGTCATTCCTAAGTTCTCTAATGTATAGACGACTTACGTTCTCCCCCATATGATAGTTAAATCCAATCTTTATAATTCCTAACGTTCCATTGACAACTGGAACTGTTTTTCTCCCTTAATTCACATTCATTTGATCTCAGTTCGAACACAAAGCTCCGTGCTGAAAGGTTGTCCTAGTTTTCACAAACCGAGTTCTACTCACACTGCTGCTAAATATTTATTCTTTGTGGGAGAATAAATATTGCTAAATGCAGTCAATGAATTTATTAAAACATCTACTTAATAAATATTATAAATAACAGAAAATAGATTTTAACTATCGACCGCGTTCTCCTGCATTTTTAACAAAAATCTCTCAATTCCAAAATATTAGAATCGGTTTAAACAACAGATGGCCTGTTGTCGGCAGATATAGTTACATTTTATCCACTGCTATCAGCGTAAAAATTGAATCTGTTCGCTTATATCTGCGAATTATATACGCTGGGTAAATTGGTTGATAACCAGCTGAGTTGAGAGGGAACTTTGAATACGAAACCTTGGAGAAGGCAACTAAGAAAGTACTCCACTGATAATACGCAGCTTGTAAATATTGAAAAAATGGGTCATGTTTGCTAAAGAGAAATGGGACTTAAAAAGAGATCTGTGGTCGATGTCTGAACCCGAGTAAGAACAAAGATTTCAATTTCAAATGCCAATTTTTAAGGCAGGCAGGTTCGTCTCATGTCAAAGCTTGGTGAAACACAATCCTTCTACTCTCAATTTCTATTTCTCGTTTGATCATGTGTAGTAGTAACCATCTATTTGTACATTTCAAACTATATACTAACCAAGACACCCACGCCCTTCCACACACACACCTCCACACGCACACTCACACCCACACAAACACACGCACAAATACAATCATTTGCTATACACTTAATCTAGCGTATTTGATAGCGTATAAAATCCACAGCATATAATACCCACCTATTGCAACAGAGAACATTAACAAAAATGTATTTGGTATATTTACCGATAAATATTTAATGTTATTGAAATATTGGCTATATTATAATATAACATTTGTTACAAAAGTTAAGAACAGTCATTTACAGAGTAAAAACAAATGCTCTCCTATAGCCATCTAAATAATAATAATAATAATTGTATCCCAGCGTCACCTTGATGATGTTCTGTTTTCTCACTAATTAATAATATTTTATTCAATAATACTACAGTAAAGACAATTGCTGGTTGTCTATACATTGTCTAAGAAAACATTAGTCTACCACATCTCAATTTCGCATATAACACGAAGGGTGTTTTTTGGATCCATATTTGCAAAATGGGTCATACATATTCCCAGATACAGCCGTCTTCAACAGACTGACTAACGCTTATCTGCGGTACTCATAAATCAAGATAGTTTTTCTGTGCTGGCCTTTCTGCTCTAAACAAAAATCATGTGCATGAGAAAGTTTTTAAACGCATCTGACGGAACAGGTAAGACATCGTCTCACACCTACGAACAAACAAAGATTTTCACGCAGAGACACACACAGACGCACAACCGCAGTCAATTATCATTTGCTCTGATTTACCTAACTTCTCTTCTCGGCCGACGGCACCTCGGTTTCGGTGCACCGGCCACACTTGAACTAATTGATTGCTTGAAATAAATGTCACATTGCAACAACTACAAATCACGATGACAATAGGAGAGCGAGTGCGTCAATGAGAGGAGGAAAACAGCGTTGTTCTGGTGGCTGATGCGGGTAGTAACAAGAGGAAATGATGAGAAAGGGGAAATAGACAGAAGAGAAAAGCAGTAACAGGAGAAATAAATTGGATGACGAAATTTTTCTCTACCGGGCAGCTGATCTGTTGCAGATTTTCAAGGTAAAAAAATGGGTCTTTGAAATTTGTTTTTATTTAAAAAAAAAATATTTATAACTCTAAATCCAAATTATTACTTGGAATTTTATCCCGTACTATATGGGAAAGATTTTAATAATTATTTCTTTACAAAGCAAGCAATGTTTGTTTTTATCACTGGACTTACGAGCTGCTGTCCAAAATTGAGGAATTTGGACAGTGTGCAACTCGAACATAATTTTGAAAATAGCTTTTGTGGACAGTACTTTTCATAAGGCAGTGTGCTAGCTGAAAGGAGATAATTCGAAGGATATGATAGAAACTGCGTGTTAGCTTAATGCACTTTCTAAACTTTACTATTTATCAAGCAAGATTATTCCGTCAGACGAGAATTCATAAAAAGTACACAGTAAATATCGAATTTACGATACTAACATTGATTTTCATCAGTAGCTTGTGTTTTATGTCATCGCGCACTCTGATGTCATTTTAATTATTCCTTTTGTTATCATAATAAAGATTCTGCAATACCTATATTTGTGTGAGCGCGTGTGGGTTTCTATTTTGAAATCTCTACCTGAAGCATTGCATCGTTATCGGTTTCATTTCTCTTCAACGTTTTCAACAACCCAACACCTCATCCGCGTCTTTATTTTTTCACACAAGTTCCGCCCAGGGATCACAACCGTTTCTAATTCGTGGCTGTTGATCCTAAATTAACCACGCCCTCTTATTTCTGAAGGACTTTTCCCACCCCATCATAAGCAACAACAATAACGCTTATAATTATCAATACAACAAGAAACTGAAATGAAACTGACATGAACATAATAGAAAGAACACAAGAAACCTACAACTCAAATATCACTTGAGCCAGAAAAGCGGACAATAGCGAACATTATCAAAAGTAATCAACTCTCAACACATGAGAATATACAGACTCGGTTATCGAAAATTCAACTTAGGATTAATATCAAAAGTCAGAATGAAATGTCTCATTATACATGAATAACATTTTGACGGTTGTATCAAGGAAATAACATCTTCGAACAGTTGCCCAACTCCATGTAAATAGAAAACCATACACGATTTATTCTTGACCAGATCGACTTGAATGTCAATTTTTTCTTAACTTTTGTTTTCATTTTTAAAAGTTTTGTTTAATCTAATGATTTTTTAGCCTTTGCAAAAATTCTGTCTGTAGTAATCACGAACGAAATATATCGTTGAATTCTCAGACTTGACATAGTTTTTTTTCAACAAGCTAAAAGTTCTGCTACAGATTATTTTTGTGTATAATACTAGTCGCATAAAACCAAAATTGCATTATATATCGCTTTATAAGTAAATAGATACCGAAAATGATTTCTGTGCAGTATCTCTAGATGTTTTCCTATAAAGTTAGAGACTTGTTTTAAAATCTAAATCTGAATAATTGAACCGAAGCACTTTTGAATGTTTATGGCTACTTTAAGGTGAAATTTGACAATGTTTTAACTAAGAATGTAAAAACATTCTGGATGATAACTCGATACAACCTAAACCTGATAATAGTCGGAAAATACATAGGTTGAAATTTATTGATCAAAATAACAGACTAAATAATTATATTAATAATAATAATAAAAGAAAGTCTCTAATTTTATCGCTTTTATGTTTGTAATGATTTTGTTCCCTCTTTTATAATTGGATGTTTAAAATTTTAAAGAAAACATTGAAAACTCACCTAAGCTCATGTATCGAATTGGCCGTGGCTCAGAGTTTCGAAAAGTTGGTACAGTGGAAGTCTGCTGGAAATGAGGCAACGGGGTGGAGAGGATATCCATCTGGCGATGCTGGGATGACAAACCTGGTGGAATATTGGCAGCCAAGCTTGCTGTAGATGTCACCACTGCTCCAAGAGGTTTCACACTGGTCAGACCAGTTGAATGTCCTGAGAGAACTTGGCTGACCGAATGATGAGGTGCGTGGATACACAGGGGACAACAAAAGCCGAGAACATCGGAAGGGTGTCTCGGGTAGCATCCTAGGGACTGGGCAGTCACAGATGGATGAAGACGTGTAGGGCAACCAGGCGGAGATGTACTTCGGTTGGAATGAGTCGGATGGTGTGTCTGGTGGTGGTTGTGGTCATTTGACTGACCATTTGTCCCATTCTCTTTGGGTTTTTTTAAAATCAATGAATCTACCAAAAAAGAACGGGACATCTTGAAAATGGCCGTGTTTACGGTTGAGATGACCACCTCTAAAATTGAATTTGCTATTGCACAGTCTTAATATTAATATATACAAAAATATCAATATATATTTAAATATAAATATACTCTATATAAATTAATTAATTAAATAAATATTAATTATTACTATTATCATAAATGAGATAATATTCTTTTTAAAACCTGTGGCTAGAAAATACTTAAAAAGTATAAAATAGACAAGCCGGTCTTTCTATTTTTAGGGAGATTAAATAATGTAATGGAGTAACTGTTAGAAATATCACAGTCTTTTCAAAGGCCACAGCGTAAAAATTCTAATAAAGGGCGAATCAGTCCTAAATACGTTTGTTTTTAAATAGTTTAGGTGAAATTGGACTTAATTGAAATCAAATAAAAATTAGATTCGTTTCACTGATTATAAGTTATTAATATAAGTAAATATAAGGGATCAAAATGTGCTCCGCTGTCTCAATACATCTCATAGAGAAGCATCTATATTTATAGGCGACGTTCAGGTTATTACATTTCTAAATTCAACAAACGGCTCTTACAAGAGATGAGAATATTAAACTAAATATATCGTATTGGAAAACTATTTCAGATTCGTGATGAGGTCGATTTGTTAAAAGAAGGGGTTGTTGAGCTGCTGATGTTGGTGATCTGACTAAATTCTCATTAGATTCTTGACGTATATAAAGGCGACCGACGAATGACAGACCTTAGCTGATTGTAAGGGCAATTTATATGAGGCTCTTAACTTTTCTCAGAGTTCCCCGTTGCTGGTCAATAATTGAAACAAAATCACGGAGCAATTGCCGATCGCCTAACCCCCGTCACTTGCCCCCAAAGTTTCTGATTCGAGCAAAATATATGCATATGATTACGGGAGGCTGAGCTCATAACAGTAATGCAATTGTTATTGTTATCCTCTAAAGACACTTTTATTTGATTCGCTTGTTTCTTTATTTCTTTTGTGAGGCGTCCGGCCCACTGTTCCACGACGACAATGGTGACGATGAGGTGGTAGCGGGGGCACATCGCCCGCCGTCGTCAACCAACGAACGAACGAAAAAAGGAATCCCTTCTTTCACCCCTAATTTAGGTCTTATCTATCTTTTTCTTTCTTTATTTCTTTTCTAATATTTTGCTCCTTTCCTCTCTCTCTCTCTCTCTCTCTCTCTCTCTCTCTCTCTCTTACACAAAATCGTACGCCTTTTGTCCACACCTTTGAAGTAACTCGAGCGACAATTGGTGAAGCTATTTCGCGTCTTTCTCTCCTTATTTTTTTTCCTCCAGGCTACTTCCTTTCCTCATTAAATTACTCCCACTTAGATTCGAACTCTGCGCTCCTCAAAGAAACTCCACCCTTAAAAAATATCTCTGATAAATTTTTATCCTCTCTCCTAATTTTTATCAATATATTTTATTACTATTATTATTTCTTTTTCTTTTGTGTTATATTCAGGCTCTATTACAATCATGGGCTGCTCGACCGGAGCTTTTTAGGTCCACAGCCCCCTCCATATATTCATTTCCCCCACCTTTCTGATATTTTTATTTGTTTATTGCGGCTTCCGAACTTCCCTTCCACAAGTTTTATTTTCTTTTTTCAGTATTCTCTATCTCGGTCTTCTTTTTCTCTCTTTCTCTATATCTCTCTCTCTCTCTCTCTCCCCCTCTCTCCCCCCTCTCTCTTTTTTTTCTCTCTCTCTCTCTCATTCGGTTGGCGAAATGGCGTGAGTGTAAAGGAAGAATTCTCTTTAAACTTTGTATCTCTCCGATCATTATTATTATTTGAGGCGAGACGGAAAATAATTTTTTTTATTTTTTTGTTATCATTCTGTTGTATTCATTGTTGACTTGAGCGTCGATTAATCACCTTCTTCTTCTTCTATTCAAAAGATGAAAATTTTGGTTCAATTTTTTCTTTGTTTCCGATATGCTGTCAACTTTAATCATCTGTTCCTCGTTCGTTTTTCCTCTCATCATTTTATTACCTTTTCATGAAGAGGTCGCCATTTCGTTTTCGCCTGTTTCTCTCTTGATTCCACTCATTCAAGCTTTTCTACGCCCTTTTCTCATATTGTTCTCCTTTTCATCCACAAAGTTTAATAATAATAATTTAAAGTTAACGAATGAAACAACTTTTTAATTTTATTGCACTTTCCCAATCGGAAATAAAGTTCAGTTTGGTGTTATAATGAAGTTGATAAAGTTTTAAAATGAGCCTAAATTTCGTATTTGAAATGCGCCTCTATTTGATCGTCAGAGATCGATCAATTAATAAAGCTGTGATGTGGAATTTTGAAAAGTGGATGGTAACAGCAGATTAGCTGCTAATTTTGTATCACGTCTTTGAATTCTGATTTCATAAAGAATAAAATTCAAATTACCTGTCTAATAACTAAATATTTTCCCCAATATTAGATGTCATGGTTCATGCCTAGTTTTAAAGTCAAGATTTTAGTGCTGATTTTCAGAGCAGGCCAATTGACCATGAACAAAGGGATAAGGACACAACGCAACACAATCTTCCTCGTTTCTGACTCTCTTCACTGATTCCAGACTAAGTAAAGATTAGTAAAGATGAAAAATAATTCTCAAGTAACGATTTTGTCAAGTTTTAAAAATTCAAATTTGTCGAACAAAATCGAATGAATTTACAGCGAATTTGTTTTCCTAAGGACCAAATTTTTAAAGAAATTCTGATGAATTTATGAGAGCCGTAAATCCTTGCCTTTCTTGTTTTGGTCACATTGTTTTGACCAATGTATTATCCTATGTTCACACACACACGCACACACACAAATATATATATATATATATATATAATAATATATATATATATATATATATATATAAAGTAAAGTAATCAAGATATTCTTTGTATATTTTTTGTCTTTTATTTAATCGACATGGGAGCTTTTGTAAATTACAAAATTTTCGGCTGCTTCTCTAGCCTTCTTCAGCGCTTTTAATCATTGTTAATAATTAAAGTAAATATCCCTTGAATGTCTTACAACATTGAGCAGATAATATCGACGAATCGAGGGAGGGAGAGAGTATTCGTAAGAGGAAATGAACGAAGGATATGATGAATAGGCGAAAAGATTAAATCCATTGAACCTGAGAGACGGGCAAATATAAATTATTATCAAATGTTTTAATTAAAAAAAATGAATATATATTTATACAATTTAATTATGTATATATATTGTTAACTTAAATAAACGTGCAAGTATATGTGTGAGTTTTTTGTGTGTGTATGCGTTTAGCAAACTGAAATTATTGATATCATTTCTTTAGTTTGTGGAGAATAAAATGTTTAATATTCTTGCAGTTGAATCTTCCTTTTAAATTAAGGAAATTATAACCGATATGCGGTTGTAAAAACAAAAAAAAAACATTCTACAATGTATATTTCATAACGTAACAAAATAAAAAATATGCTTTGTCCAAAATGACATGAGAAAACAGAGAGGAAATCTATAATTGTTTCATTCATAAATGATGAATACGTATTTGCAAATTATTTACTATTTCCAAAAGATTTAATATCCCTGAATCAACTGATCGAAACAATTTTTAAGTTCAAGAAAAAATATTTTTTTGAAAATAAATTCAACCAGAGCAGAATGTAACTTTCTAAAAACTGTTGAAAATAAACCAAATACAACTAAGAACCTCATGAATAAAATGGAAACTGCTACAGTAAAATAACAATAACAATTACTAATGCCCTATACAGAGTAAGCTTGACTGCACTCTGACTGTATAAGACCCTTTTTTAATGCTAGCATGCGCAAATGAATATATTGGGAAGCCTATTTCATTTTGCAAGAATGTACTATGGGCACAGGAGACAAAAATATAATTTTGGGAACATAATGACAAGAAATTATTTTAAAGAAGTCAAGTTGATGCTTTCACCCAACACCCCCCAAAACACTATCCTTACAACAAAACGTATAAGGAGCAATATCATACTTTGTGGGCATTTCTCTACAAAGGGGAATTTGGTAAGAGTTAATAGTATAATGAACAAAGACGATTACATGAAATATTGGATGTGAACTTGAAAGTGTATGTTATAAATCTAAAACAGAAGTGCGGTTGGATCTTTATCCCAGACATTGTTTCTAACCTACTACTAAATTAGGCCAGAAATATCCGAAGGATATGAATATAAAATTTTAGTCTGGCCTTCTCAAAGCATCAACTTGAATACAATTGAAAACATATGGGATGAACTGAAATGAGGTGTAACAGCAAGAAAAAAAGTAATCTACAATACCTTGAACATGACATGAAGTATGGCTCTCTGTAGTCATTCATTCGTTTTGTAGGAAAAACTATATACAAACTACTCGTTTAGCCATTCTTTCAATATATTTTTTTTTTGAAATCTCTTGTTCAGAATGATAGAATTAATTTTAAACTTACTTGCAGTATAGTATGACCAGCATAAATATTCAATACGCGACACGCGCACACATCAGAATTTTGGTATGAATCCCTTCTTGTTTGGTCCGGAGAACTTTTCAGAACCAGTTTGTGTTTTATTAATGTATATATATATATATATATATATATATATATATATATATATATATATATATATATATATATATATGCATTGTATAAAATTTGTTAGGTTTATGGGGCAAGAGTAATCAATATCCAAGATAAAGGGTATATAGATATAGACTCTGAACATAAGAATCAACATTATATGGTGAATGTCATTTTCACGCCTCAAGCAATCATCAGACCATGTTTCACTACTCCGTTAGCGGGCTCTAGATGTAAACCACTATAGTATTACAGAAAATCAGGAAAGAAGAAAAGTTGTTGCATCCAATTATTTTTCTGTAATTTATAGTCGGGGCGTTAGATTTCTTTTTTCTTTTTGCGGCCATTTATTTGTTTGTACCTTATAGAATTTATTTTCATATACACACACACAATATATATGAGATCCGGTTTCAAATCTCAACATGGTCGATTTGTCGGGAATGGTGACTTCTTGATAATATCGGCTGGGGGTGGCGATCCCAGTGTACGGTACTTTGGAAAATGCCTGAAACCATACCCAAACCTTGTGATTCAATTTGGGTAGACGGAAAAGTTCCGTCAATAGTTGTGCTTACACGAATTATCACGCCATTGTGACCAAACGTTTGAGCGTGCTAGTCTCGTTCAAACTGCTGATAATGTCCTCTCTTCCAGAAACTGTAAGTAAGGTCAGCTCTGCATATTTGAAGTATAAACTACAAGTGGGCTCTGTGGGCGTTAAACACATACAAATGTGCCTGAACAAGTGTCTGCAACAGGGATTAGCTTGTCCTCCTAACAGACAGTGATATTCAATACGAGCGGTCAGTCGTTATATTTCAAATTTATAATTAGCTGAAACCCAAATTATAGAAAGTATTTGGTTAAATCACTTTAACAAAATTTGTCTCCATCATTCTAATAATTATTTCACTTCATTTTTTTATGTGCTTATCCATGACTCTCAAACAAAATGTTTATTAAAACAAATATCTCCCTTATTTATTTCTGCTAGGTACTATAATATTTTTTACTAACCCGACAAAATTCTGACTAATATTTCAACAACTTCCATATTCATGTTAGACATAACGACTCACCTTTACTTTTGTTGTAGTAAGTTTTTTCTCTATTTAGACAAAGTTTATATTTTTTTTCTCTCATTACAAACATTTTATAAACATTTTCTCTTTATTTTAATTTCAAATTCTGTTGCTTGATAACTAATTATTTTGACTTTCATTTTCAATTGAAAAGTCAAATTGATATTTAACCTATGCTGTTTCTAAATATCACCGAATATAAAACAATCAAGGAAGGTCAATTAAAATGAAAACACCAACCCGACAATGCAATGTATGCAAAAATGAAACGATTCTTCACAAAACTTAAAAAATCCTCGTTCCTTTCTTTTGTAATGGAAAGTCAATCAACAGAGCCACTGAACGCCTGACTCATGTGTAACCTTCCCGGGGACCAGATGAAATTCACTAGCACTCGCAATCGGTTCATAGTGGAGAGTAAATAAGGTGGGAAAAATTATCTGCCCTTTCCTAGGTAAGCACCATACTATTGATAAAACTTAGATAACCTAGATTATGAATGAAGCAATTGAATTAGTTGTACTCATATCTTTATCTTTTCCGTTTCGATTACTTCGTTTAGGTTGGTAGGTCTTCCTTCTATTATTTTATTTTAAAGTATGATTAGCATTCTCTTTGCTGCTTTAATTAAATTGTTTCGTTTGGTGTGTTTTCGAGCTTTCTTCAGTGGCCAAATCGGTAAAGGAACATCAAGCTAAATGTATGAACATAAATTGATACGCCTGAGCAGATATGAATGTACGTAAGAGATTCATAGAAAATTGAAGTTTAAATACAGTAAATTCGGCCTCGCTAACGCGCCTCTGTGGCCAAATCGGTAAAGGCACGTCAAGCTAAACGACGGTTCCGTAAAGGATACAGGTTCGAATCCTGTCGGAGGACGAATATTTTCTGTGAAAATTTCTCGGATATTCAGGCCGGTAAATGTTGTTTAATACTGTTATTTATAAACAGAGCATTTACTTAAATATTTGTATCTATAAAAATAATGTATAAACATAAACAATTGTCGGACTTTGTCCATTTCATAATATATATATATATATATGTGTGTGTGTGTGTGTGTGTGTGTGTGTGTGTATGTATCTGTGTGTGTGTGTGTGCGTGTGTGTGTGTGCATTGACAACATCAGCGTGTGTAAAACCAGATTCATACATGTACTTAAATACAAAGGCCCAAAACACGAACAAATGCAAAGCACAAACGTCCTGTCGTCCCCGAATCTTCAACTGTTTCTCTCTTACGCTGTTTGCTTCCTTCACTTCTTTCATGTGTCAACACAAATAATTGCGCACTAATCTGTCAATAACTCTCTATTTCTGTGTTCAAACAATAAACGACGTTTATTGGAATCGATGAATGCATAATACTTTTGATCAATGAGTTGACAACGCAGGCCGGGTTTAGCCCACACAGCAGAGAGGGGCGTGCGCAGTCGAAGGCCATTTACCAACCCCTCGGCCGTTCGCTTCTGCAGTCAAATTATACCAAAGAAGGCTTTTACCTACACTGACAATAAGTGCAAGACACTTTTATTAGATTCAAAACACACACATACGCATCATCATCAACGTTCATGTCATTTCGTCGACAATTAAATATTTGATTTCTTTTCAATTCCTGTTTTATTTGGAATTAAAAAGCAGTTGCTAAATTTTTATTCATTTATTTTCCTCAACTGAAAAACTTACAGCCCTTTTTTTTTCTGTTTCTAAGTTGTTTTCCCTAAAATAAAAAATTCTTGTGTAACTGCTTCAACTTATAGGAAACTTTTTAAATATATCAGTTAATCATCATATTTCTTCCATGATTCGAACTAGCACTTTTGACTTTACAGCATTTATCTAAGCAATTTGTTCATTCTTCAGGAGTTTTTTTTCCATCCATTGTATTTAGATATCATCAAGTAATATTTATTCGTTTGGACATAGCCGATCATTTTATTAGTTTTGAAATATTTCCTATTAAAATGATCAGCGATAATGTATGAAATTTATTTGTTGTTTCGGCATCAATTTATCTTTCGTAATTCTGAAAGATCTGATAAGCAAGCAGTCGGGCGAGCTATTTAATAATTTATACATACATATATATATATATATATATATATATATATATAAAGAACAAATAGGAAATGTATATCAATTTAACATGTTTCACTTTTATTAAAACTTCGGCAGAGATTGAGAGAAAAGAGAAAATAAACACAAACTGGTATTTTCAATTTATGTGGGGGAGACATCGCGTGATTTAAAAAGCCCGCATCTACGAACACAAGAAAGACTTATGTTTGGACAAACGATTTAACTCTATCGTTATGAATTGAAACGATGCTGGACATATTGATTTCTCTAATGGCACCCTAATTAAAAAGAGAACATCATTCTTTGAAAACTTAATAATTATTATCAGCTATAAACACAGGCCTAAAACATTACATCGCCATCTTTCTTTGAATCCATTCTTAAAAAATCTAACTTGTAGCTAATTAATACAATGAATACATGCTTAAATAGGTCAGACATAAATTAGAACCGTGTGACACTCCCCTCGCGGGCTGACCGAACAAAGTTGAAGACATCAGAACTAACTCCCAGCAGACAAACACACATACACAATTACCAATACACGTTACTATCCGATGCCCACTTAGACATACAAGAATCTTTACAAACTTACATATACACCGAATTATCTACGGTTTCAATGCACGTGACATGTGTCTAAACAATGAGAACTGGCGGAAACATAATTGAAAATTTCAAAGTCTGTTTTCTCAATCTCTGACGAAACCTTAATAAAAGTGAAAAGTGTTATATTTTATATTGTTATAAGCTTCCTATTTGTTCTTTATTTTATCAACCTGTCGGATTCCGATCAATAATTGACCAGCAATTGATCATTCATTATATATATATATATATATATATATATATATATATATATATATATGAGTTAATGATCAAAGATATATATATAAAATATATATATATATATATATATATATATATATATATATATATATATGAAGAAATATAGTTTTTTAAGGTGTGCTATATTTATGGGATAAAGTGCTCAATATCAGAGATTAAGCGTATGTAAATATAAATATAAAACTGAATATTGAAGTCATCACTCAGAGGCGACAGGCTGTTTCGTGACGACTGCGTCCAGCATGAAACAGCCTGTCGCCCGGAGTGTTGATTTCAATGTTCTTTTTATATATATATATATATATATATATATATATATATATATATATATATATATATATATATATATATATATATAAATAAAATTTTTACCTTGTGGTTTACCTTGTTTTGAAAAACAAGGTAAACCACTACTATAGACAGTAACTAGAAAATATATCTAATTTTTTCTCAGTCTATTATATTTAACTTTTCACAAGTTACTTATCATATTGAATATCCTACAATGCTTCTTTATTTCCCAATTTTGTCTTTTTACTTTTTTTTACTGTGAAAAAATCTTTTTTCCTGTATACTCTGCCAATACATATAAATCCACTTCACCCAGTAGATCAGATGAAGGATCACTTCCTGTTATGTGTACCATGTAATCCACTACAAGTTATGGCATGATGGAAAGAAGATGGGGAAGACGAGCTAACCAACATTGTCACCGAAATGAAAAACACAGTATGAAAGTGCAACGATCTACTAGATTTATAAGATAATTGAATCAATAAATATATATATATATATATATATATATATCAAATCGTAACGGATCGAGCGCACACACACATGCAGACACATACACTCACACACACACACACACACATTTTAACCGATAAATATAGCATACCTAAAAAAGCTATATTTTTCACATACACAGAACACAAACACGCACACACACACACACACACACACACACATATATATATATATATATATATATATATATATATATATATATATATATATATATATATCAGTATATTTTCGCTAAATAAGTTTAACCTGATAAGATCTCCTCAACCATGATGCCAAAAATTAGGCCTTGAAATTGGTTAAATGAACAGGTAAGGTGATTCTTTTATATTTTGTTCGATGAAATCCTTAACGATTCCTTGATATTGTGGGATGCTGGTTGGTCTCTTTCTTGTCGTCTATCAAGTAATTCAACTCGGACGAGCTAAAAGCTTCTATGCAGATGATAAGATTGTAAAAATGCTCAGCCCATGATGTGCAGTCATTGCGAATCACAATATATATACAACAGACGCTTAAAACTGTCGAGAGGTAACCGAATTGTTTGTACTAAGGATATTATATCGAATGGAAGTTTGCATCAAATTGGATATGCATTCGTTGTATACTCACGTTGGGGTTTCTTACCTTATTCCAACAATAGCGTTTAAATAGCAATATTCTGTAAATAAACTTGCAGTCAATTTTTATGTTTGTACAGCTGACAGATTTTAAACCATGCATACAATCATACCAGTAGTTACTACCATTCTGCTATATATTATTCCATGTCTCTTGCATCTATTGATATAATACTACAAGGGGTGTACGTGCAATAAATGAACGAGTCAAGCGTCGTTACATCATGTATCATACATGTTAAATAGGGGACAGACCTGGCAACCGAGTAGTCCTCCACACAATTCTTCTAGTCTTTGATCTTATATCAGACGAAGTGAATTTTAGAAAGTATGTATAAGGGCCTATTTTGGATCTGAAATATTTACGCGTTGTCAGCAGCACCAACTTACGAGCCAATGCAAAATCCTGTATTTTCAACTTTAATATTCAAGACAGCCAGGCAAGCAAACCCTCTTTACGTGGAGGTACAGTGCAGCACACACTTCCTATCCCCCAATTCAGAGCCTTTGCCAAACTAACTAAACTCAGATATATACTCAATAACAATATCATCCATAAATGTACTTTACTGTACTGAAATTTTTACCATGGATTTTAATATGAAACAATGCTTGTTCATTGTATTGGTGGTTTCCAAACTTGCCACCTACGACAAGTATAGAGTTTAGATTCGACTGTGTTCTCCACTTGTTTATTGTATTGTAAACAGGAGGATTTGCTTGTAGATTCGTGACATCGAGATTTTACTTGTTTATTGCCAGTTCATTGAATATGTTTTATTCGTATCTTCTAATCACAAAAGTCTTTTCGAACGTGGGAAATTCAATAAACCTTTAAACAATTGCAGTAAACTTACCGCAATGCAATTAATGAACCTTTCAAACTGTAAATTACTATTATTCGGGCTCACTGGGATTTTACACCAACAGGCATCGTTGGATTTCACTAGAAATCAAGTGACAGCAATTCTTCTCATAAATCTAGCACACACTTTAAGATTCTCAACGATTTTCGAAATATTGTTGTCTGGATATTTTTTATTCTTCCTCGGATTTCCAAATCTTTCAATCTTTTTTGCAAAACTCTTCGAGACAGTTTCAAGCATTCCACTAATGGTAGGTGCAAGTGTCACCTTTGTTTTAGGACTGATAAGTATGTCAACCCCAGAAGCTGGTTTGTGTTGAAGAAAGGTGTGAACAGCCAAGACAATGAAGAGACAAAAACACAGGTTTATATTTAACAGAAACGCCATTTTTATTACACCAAAACGATGTGCGTTTTTATAACAAAACAGAAAAGGATTGTTCCGGGAGGAATGCCTGGATTGTAGTAATGATATCTGGTACATCATTGGTTGGCAAGTTTGTCGTCGGTCGGATGGCAGGTCGGGCTTCGAGTTCAGGAAAACAGAACAGTCGGCTTAGTTAGACAGGACGGAAAAAGGCTTCAGAACAACAAAGTGTTGTAGTTCGGAAAGAATAACGCCTTTTTGTGTATTGCCCTGACAAGGACAGTTTGCGAGAGTCTCTCCCGAGAACTCGGTCGTGGGGTCCGCGGATGACGGAACCAGCAGGAACGAGTTAGCGACAGGAGGCTGGAATCGTTGCCACCTGGCTGTCTGCTTCGACGATTCGGGTGAATCTTCGGAGATATTCCAACTCACAGTTGGGAACCTCTTCCCTAAATAGGGCCAAGTCGGTGAGACGATACTAACTTCAGTGGTGGATCGACCGCGGAAAGCAGTATCTCACCGAAGAGTATCGCTCAGCAGGACACTGGGTAGATCAAAAGTGGATATCAAGTAGTGCACAGATACTACACCGCCGATCTTATTCCCCGGGCCGAGAAGGCCGACCTGCCATCCGACCGACGACTCACTTGCCACTCTGCCTTGCAACACCTTCATGATCCGGTTTTCACTTCTCCCTCAAGATTTCTATTCCCCCCAGCTTTTCACTTTCTTCCAATTTTAACATTCATTCTTCCCAAGCAGTGGCATCCGCTAACAAATTTTCTTTTCCTTATTCATGATCTTTTGCTCTTAATTGCGTGACCTGTATCAAAGTCACAAAGAATGTTATTCATATTGTTAATATTTCATTTCACGTTTTACGACTTTTTATGGACTTTATATTGAATCCCGCAAGAATCATAATTATTAACTGACACGCGATATTTCCACTAAATGCCTTCAGTTCATCAAATAACATCGTTCGTCATTTTTATTTTCATGAGTTTCTAAGCCAACAAGCTGATTAAATTTTCTAAAATCTTCTATAGGGACATCTGACGCAAAGAGATGGTTAATAAATTTTTCTTATAGATCCGCTCGCTCTTGTCGTCAGTTTCATCTTTATTGGGCACCTAGATACTTGTGCCAGACTAAGTTGTTGAATCCCCAAATCTTTCAAATTTTCTACACATGTGCATTGACCATCTAGTGCAATTTTATGCATTTTCCTCTATCATTAATGTGTTTATTTGATAGCAACTTCAAATCCTCCAATGATTACTGGCACCGCCGTTCTATTATTATTACAGATGAAGCTTGCTTTTTAATACTTTTGATGTTAGGTAAGTGGGAAAGTCCAGCACTAATAGAAAAAAGTCCATTTACCACACCTTAACTACTTATTCCTGATCAGTGCACGTGATTACCTGTTTATTGACCACGCATCATTAACTCTGTAGGACAAACTATTTCAACTATTAGTCTTTTCAACAGATGACTGCATTCTACACTTTAGCCACGCGCACACCGATCTGTTGATTCGACTATATTTTCATCTATTACAACCAAATGTAATCTTCTCTGCACAAGTCACCATGATGACGCTTGCATTATAAGAAGACAATTCTAATGTCCGCCACACATTCATTTACATCGGTGTCAGGTGTGTTTTCAATTCAGTTTATATAGATTACAATAATGCATCTGCCATGGAACCATATTAAGGATGTTTGCTTCGCAAGCCTTTGTTTGTAAGGTTAATTCTCACTTGGTTTTCTTTAATTGTTATTTAATAAATATCTACATTGCCGCGTAACAACGGTTTGCAAGATTATCTTGTAGATTCTAGAGAAATGACATGGAGCTCCACTCTTGTAGCCTTGCACCAGGTTAGGATTTAGCAAATATTCTCAAATGTGCTTATTGTAGAGAGAGCGTTAATAAATATCCATTTTAATCTATTTATAATGTCGTGCTTGATTTTCTGCTAAAAAATAAAAATAAAAAGTCCATTCTTTTGTTTAAAAGAAACATGGATATACTGCCACATTTGCGCAAAATGTATCAAATACATTTACATTACAAGTTAATAAAAAAGTAGAGTTATTTTCTTAAAAAATATAATTTTCAGAATAAACAAAGCAATTCGTGAAAGAAATATTCTGCATTTGTAATTGCCAAAATTAAATTTGTCCTTTTTATCACGTCACTTTTCTTCGGCTCATAAGCGCTAAGAAAAGATTAAAATATATATATATATATATATATATATATATATATATATATATATATATATATATATATATATATATACACCGAGATACTTGAAATATTACAAATCTCTTTAAAAAAAAATCATTGAATAACTATTATATGAGTTAACTCGGCGCTCAACCCCTGAGACCTAGTATCAAAGTAAACTAAGACTTAAAAAATATGCTTAAATTTTCTTCTTGCAGAGGCATATTTAACAAACGAGTCTTGTAGCCTATTTATAATGTGTTGAATTTGATCCTCAGCAAGTGCCCCAAAACAGTCACCTTTTACCAGATTAGACTAATCTTAGCAAATACCTATATCTGAGTCATTTGTTGTTAAAGAAGTATGAATTCTTCTTCGCTGGCTTCATGGCATTTTGGAAAAAGAAAAATTCTTAATTTTTCACAAAATTCAATCTTTCCTGCGAAAAGTGATATTTTTCTTAAATTTTCTACTTCTCTTATGATTCAATTGATTTATCTTTTGTTATTTCTTTGGCAGCAATTTTCTCTCTTCAAATTACACACGATTGTTTCATTCATAAAATATTAGTTCTCATTCTTCACTTTCATCTACGCATATTTCACAAAATTCTGACTCAGCGATGTTTTACAGTTTATTTCGGTGGTTATCAAATATTGTAAAGATTGTAAAAGATTAAACACTTTGATGTTTTTTTCTAAGTTCACTCCTTACTGTCAGTTTTCACGACTCAATAGAAAAGATTTATACTCTATAAAATTAACAGTGATTGTTTTTGGTTTGTTTTTATTTATTTATTTACTGTGTTGATTCGATTATCATTGTTAATATATAGTAATTTATTGGAAAACTTATCGATGTCGTAAGCAATCTGGCGATGAATCAAAGTGCAAGGAGAGGTGGTTCCAAGCCTTTCATAAGGACGGTAACACAACGTGAACATAAATAATAAATCCTGAATTCAGATGCCATCCGCGAATTACTTTTACCGAGTCGATAAGACGCGTTACATCCCCATCTCGTATACCATATGAAACAATTTATGCATTAATATTTTAGTTTTTATTATATTATTAACTAAGTAAGCCATATCGAAAAAAAAGCATACGTCTTAAAATTGATTAACTCCTTACTACTGTTAAAATATTTTCACACATAAAAATCTTTAAATATATATTCAGTTCACTTTACGCTTTCATGGAATTGATCTTTTCTCCTCCCGACTTCGTAAATTTCTTTGAATGATTCTTATATCAAAGGCACTATCACTTCGTATTACCAGTATTGAAATAACTTGAGAACAGCCAAAAAATTACAGTTATAAAATTAGAAATACGGTATGCTCGATTTAGCGCCCCCGCTCGCATAAGCGCCCCCTTTCCTCAAGGAATTTAAAATAAGTGCCTCTCTAGAATAAGCGCCTGTGAAGCAAAAGATATTTAAGAAGCGAAAGGAGTGGGGGTGATTTCAATCTGGGAGTTTAAAGACAAAAGTTAACTTATCGTATGTACTCATGTATCATGCCATTTTGAAGACCTGATTTTGAAGCTAATGTTAAGAGGTCGCATCATACACGAGATATAAAATTAACATATATACTACTGACTCTGGCTACGCCGTTGGCCAAACTGTAGTAAAAAATTACAACTGTATTTAATATAAACATGATTTTGATAAAATTGATGTTTTACATAACTGTTTCCAATAATAATCGAAGGTATATTCACATGTTAGTATCTTATTATAAAATACACACATAGTGAATATGCATTTTTTTCCATTGTTTACCTTATGTTTAACTCTTTCTCGTTCGTTTGTTTATGACTGTACATTCTTATGCAAGGAGTATAGCCGAGTGTTACTAACGATACGTTCATCATTCTCTTTTACATTTTAAGCATATTTAAGTAGAAGATGGGATAAAGAAATAGAGGGAAAGAGGTTAGTCTATTGTAATTTGGTCTCTCAAAAATGTAACTCGCATGATACACAAGATACATGATAAAATCATTTTTATAAGTGAAAATTTAGGGATCGCACGATACGCAAGATCGCGCATTAGACTAGTACGGTAATCAAAATATGCTTTCTTTAAAACCTTTAAATGATCATCCGTACTCTAAATTGAGCATTTATTTGAAGATAGATAGATAGATAGATAGATAGATAGATAGATAGATAGATAAAATAAATTTTCTAGAGGGTTTTTATACTTTCTTTTTTTTGCAATCGACTCCATCTTTGAATTTATTTTGTGTCTGAAATGAGAGCGATCACAGGGACATCATGAGAGTCACCCACGAAAGATCTAATTTCAATAAGGAAGCTTCTTCGTTTTAAAATTTCTATTAAGTTTTCCGCAAAAAATATTCTGTCACTTAAAAATATTCTGGGCTGCATTTGCCACTTAGAAAGGTAATGATCAGAAAGAAAAATTAAGTCTCTAACGCAAAAGAAAAAGCGATGATGTAAGTTCAACTTTCATCGGATATTTTTATTTCCCATCCCGAGCTGTGTTACTGACAATTTGTAAACTGATAGTTTAAGAAGTTGTGACAGAAGCAACTGAAAGCAAAATGAAAGAAATCCCCGTAAAGAATAATGGTAAATGACAAAGCTTCATTTAATAATAAATTCGAAATAATATTAATATTTTATGCTTTTTATACATGATTTTGAGAGATTTAATTCTCAGCAAATAATTTACTATTTTTATTGATAAATTTGATAATCTTTACTTACATTATTTACATTATTCGGGCAGTTATCCTCATCTTCATTACCATCACAAGGTTTCGGCTGTTGTACGCTCCAGCATTCTTCAGGCGATTGGAATTTGGAACCAAACCCTTTATTTCGTGAAGATGAGGATAACAGTCCGAGTAATGTAAATAATGTAAGTAATGATAATACCTTATCTCAGAGATATAGGCAGATATTGATAATCTTTGTTTATGTTTTGCATTATTCAGTAGATTTTTAACGATTATGTTCATTATTGATTTTGTTTTTAGTTGTTTTTTTTTTTAGTTTTGACCTATGCATTCTTTAGTCATGTTAGAAGAAAATATGTAGTTAAGACCAGACAATATATCATCCTAAAAGTTGTTAAGAGCAACAAAGATAAAATTACTAACCCGCGAAAGATGAGTAATAATACAGGAAAGCCGAATTTACTTTATATTTTAAATATTTCTCAGTAAATTCCAGCTTATTAATATTTACTAGTTTTTATTTTCTTTTTTCTTTTTTCGGATCTTTTTTACGTTCCGAAACCGTTTAGTAAACAGGAAGGATTGAAAATAACAGAATAGAAAAACTAATCAAAAGTTTATAATGAAAATGAAAGAAATTTGCATAACTTAAAACGATTAAATGTAGGTATCTCAAAAAAGTCATTAAAAAGCTGACGAAAGAGATGTCCAAAACGTGATAAAAACAAAATTTTATCGTAAAAATTTTTGTGTTTTTATAAAGAGGAACGATCCAAGAATTCCTATTTGAAAATTATTTTTTATATCCGTTTTAGAAACTTGGAAATTTTGGTTAAATTTTTTTT